TTTCTGCTCTGAAACGATCTCTCTGAGTCCTGCTGTCCAGCATCCTGGATAACTTCATCCCCATCCCAGGTCCCACCCCCACCAAGGTTCCTGCTAATTTTCTGCTCGTGTGCGGAATAATTTTACATGCACCGAGGCATGTGAGAATGTGCACCACCAGTAGACACAAAAACTTAGCTGGGGGGGACAGCATTTGAATCTTACAGGAAACACTGACCCCCACTCTACTCCTTCCCCCAAGTCCCTGCTTCTTCCTCTCTTGAGGCAAAGCAAGGCCGGTAGCATTACCACCCACACCCCACGCCACCCTGAAGCACAGGGCCCCCCAAAGTGTGGGGCCTGAGATAACTGCCAGGATCCATCCCACGGATGGGATGGCTCTACTTGAGGCAGTCAGTTGTGTGCTTCTGATTAAATCCAGTAAAGAGAGGTGGCCTATATCTTCTCTCATAAACAGACACACAAAGGTATGTTAAGTATACACACATGCATAGTAGCCTGCTCCTAGTTCGTGCCCATTTAGTTTGTGGCAGTTTGTGGCCTATGACACGCAGTTGTGCGGTTCTGATTGCATCCAGTAGAAGGGGCAGTGCGCTCTCTCTGTCTCTCTCACCAGTTCACTCTTCTTTTTTTTGTAGCCCTATAAGGGCCATGACACACAGAGGTGTATTTCCATTTCTGTCCAGCAGAGGCTAGTGCTACAGCTGCTTCCGCCAGAAAGAGGGGGGAGGAGGTAAATAAAAACCCAGGCCAACCAGTTAATTAGCATTATTTTGGAGGATAATAAATAGAAAGCCCTGACAAGAGAATCAATGCAGGGCGGGAGCCGGCACTGACTCATGCTTACATATGCTAAGCACAGAGGGCCATGGTGAAGATTTCAGCCTCACATCTGCTCGTCCCGATTCGATTTGAATGATAATCCCATTATTAAGAGATGCCTTCATTAAGACATCTGTAGGGAGAGTGCCTACCAGCCGCTTGGTGGAAGGACGCCAGCTCTTCTTGAATATTTTTTCCCTCCATTAATGATTACAGATTTTTTTTAAACAAAAGTCTTAATTAGACATTGTTCCTAACAGGGATATTACACAAATTAATTAAACTCAAGCCAGTAAACAGCGCTGCTCTGTGATTCTGACAGCCGCAGACCTCAAGTTGCCTGTGAACGAAAAGCAAATGAGGATGGGGAGGGGTGCTGACAGCTAGTTCGAAAATATATCTGGCATGTATGCTCTTGTATCTAGGTGAAAGGGGAGGCAGTGATGTTGAATGGTTAGAGTGGGGTGGTAAGTCAGAATTCTTGGGTTCTCTCCCTGGCAGTAGAAGGGCAGTGGGGTGTAGTGGGTAGAGTAATGGGTGCAAGATTCAGAACTCCTGGATTCACACCCTGGCAGTAGGAGGGGGAGTGGGGTCTAGTGGGTAGAGCAGCAGGTGTAGGATTCAGAGCTTCTGGGGTCTCTCCCTGGCAGTAGGAGGGCAGTGGAGTCTTGTGGTTAGAGTAGGGAGTATAAGATTCAGAACCCCTGGATTCACTCCCTGGCAGAAGGAGGGGTTGTGGGGTCTAGTGGTTAGAGCACTGGGTGTAGGATCCAGAGGGCCTGGGTTCTCCCCCTGGAAGTAGGAAGGGGAGCGGGTTTTAGTGGTTTGAACATTAGTGGGAACCAGAACCCTGGCAGTAGGAAGCGGAGTGGGGTCTAGTGGGTAGAGCACTGGGTGTAGGATCCAGAGGGCCTGGGTTCTCCCCCTGGAAGTAGGAAGGGGAGCGGGTTTTAGCGCCTTGAACATTAGTGGGAACCAGACCATTATGGGTTCAGTTTCCGGCCCTAGGAAGATTGGCCACTCTGAAAGGCAGCACGTCTGGTGGCGTGAGGGGGAAATGGGACTTCGAGGGTGCTTGTCCCAGTTCTAGGAGGCAGTGTTGTCTAGTGGTTAGAGCAGGGCAGCTCTCCTGGGGGAGAGGCTCTTTCCCCAACTCTGACCTGCAAAGCCCAGCTGCTGTTCACCTGCCTTGCCGGGGCATTGAGAATTCATGATTGCCTGGCAAGCGGGGGATGAAAGTGCGAGGCGGAGCAAGCCGCCTTTGCTCTGCCTCACATCTCCCGGAGCTTTGAAGTGCCGAATGCGCGGACCCCCGTCTTCTGAGCCGCGGCCCCTTTGTTCTGAGCCGCCCAGCCCCCCTGCAGCAAGTCTCCCTCCGCTACCCGCCCACCCCCGGAGCGCAGGCTTTGAAAAGCTCCCTTCGATATCCGCCTCCCGTGCGGCCGAGTGGTGAGCCTCCATGGGTCAGCCCTCGCCACCCCGCTCCGGCAGAAGGTCAGACAAGGCGCCTGCTCACTCCCCAAAGAGCAGAGACTTCTCCCCGGGCCTGGACACTCCGGACACCGCTGCAGAGCGGTTAGTAACCGAATCATTACTCTCGAGAGGCGCTGTTGTGTTTCTGTTCCAGGGTCCCATTGTGCCAGGTGCTGCCCAGAGGGAGACAGGTCCTTCCCCCGAAGAGCTCACAATCTGAGGCGGCAAGAAGGGAAACTGAGGCACGGGTGAAGCCACCTGCCTATGTCAGAGGTGGAAAGGGCTCGTAGGCAGCCTGCTTCTGGGTTCTCATATTTCAGGGTTGGGGGTTGTAGGGTACCTGCTTCGTCTCTCTCCGCTCTGGGTTCTCATATTTCAGGGTTGGGGGTTGTAGGGTGCACAGCGGCGTGAGTCTGCAACCTTCCCAAAGCACTAGCGAATGTTTTTTCACCACAGCTGCGTTTGTATGCCAGGAACATAGATCCTCCCCTGTCCTTGTCCCCCACCCCTACCTGCCCTCTGAATGCAAAGCAGCCGCTGCCAACCATCTCCGCTCAGGAACATCCTGAGCCAGATGCTTGGGTTGTGCATGGCCATCCCCTGGGGGGATGGAATCAGAATCGCTCAACTGTGTGTCATAGACCCTAGACTGGGAGGCAGGAAAGGCGATTCTTCTTAAGCTTAGCCAGGAGCAGGCCTGTGGGAGCAAGAAGGTCTGGGATCTAGCCCCGCCACCCCCTCCTGGGTAGAGCTGTAGGCTCTCCCTTGTCCCTTATCACCGGAAAAGAGAAGGCTGATGGCTTATTTCTCTGGCACATTCCTCCTCTTCCTCTCAGGCCACATGGGGCAGCCTCATGCTGACTTTCCCTCTTCTCACCCATTGCTGGAGGGGCACCTTCCGCACCCTGCTGCCCACCGGGAGCACAGACTCTGTTCTCCTTTCGCCTCATCTCCTGTCGCTCAGGGCCAGCTTAGATCTTGCACAGGACGCTTTCCATCCTGCTGTCTCTGATGTCGCTCAGGGCCGGCTTAGATCTTCTTGCACAGGACGCTTTCCATCCTGCTGTCTCTGTGGGTTACGCCAAGGCCTTTATCCAGCTTGTCAGGACGCTGGCTCATGTGTAGCTTAGAGCCTTAGTGGAGACAAAGACCCAGCCTGGCAAGATTTCAAAGCTACAACCCAGCTGCCTCTGCTGGGAGAGGTCGGGCTGCCAGGATGGGACCGACGTGAAACTGACCCGATGGGTTTGGTCCTCCCTCTGCCCCGCCCCTCTTCGCCCGCTGCAACGCCTTGGTAATGGGGTCCTGGGTGTAAACAGCGCCACAAGGACCAAATGTTGGTTAGAAAACTGGCGGGAGAAACAGAATATTAATGTAGGAAGCTGGAGTAAGGGGGTGATGAATCAGTGTGCGGCTGAGCAAAACCTGCGTCCACAGGACAGCAAAGGACTATGAGGGCCGGATCCCCCTCTCGCGGCTCCTGGTGTAAATCAGCAGTAATTCCTCCGCAGTCCTGTGTGATGCCAGCTCATGCCCAGTGCTGAACGACCCCTCCCGGTTCCATGGCGTTACGCCTGCGTCTGCCGGGGGAGACGCGCTCACAAGGAATACGCCGCCTCTGGAGTTACTCCACTTCTACGCACAGGCGGAACCCCATCCTCCCGCCCCTAGCGATGCCGTTTGCACCGGCGCAGAGCAGTGTCCAACGTTTCCAGGCAGGTGTCGAGGGCTCCGGCCTCTGGGGAGCGACTCCAGATTCACGCCCCTTGTCACAGAGAACAGGATCTGAGCTGCCCCATTACATCCCCGCGAGGGCCTCCCCTCCCCTCTCAAACCCTACGGACTCTGCGCGCTGGTGTCTGACGCAGACTGTCCTGCCAGAGGCGCACACGCTGTGCTCTCCCCTGAGCTGTCACCCGCTCAGGCTTTTTTCTTCCTCCTGGCAGCAGGCTCTGGCTCTGAACTCTGGGTCATATGGACGGGGGAGGAGGGAGTGGGGGGTGCAGAGAAAACCAACTGGGATGGAAGTTGCATGTCGCTCCTTGTTCCCCAAAGCCAGACTCCAGTCAGATGTGGTGGGGGTGGGGCCGGGGTGGGGGAGGTTAGCCCCTGCCTCTCCCCTGCTCACAGGAGCATCTCGAGGTGCACAGCTGTCTCCCCTCCACTCCCCAAGGCTGCCCTGGGGACGTGGCCAGGACAGAGCTGAGCCCTGCGTCTTCTGGGCCACAGGGCTCAAGGAAGCAGCCTCTCTACACGGCTGCCTTTAGTTGTGCTCTAACTTGTGCCAAGGCCGAGCTGAGCTATAGCGGCCTCCTTCCCCACGCGGCCTAGAACCCAAGGGCTGGGAGAGACCTCAGGAGGCCATCGAGGGCAGCCCCCTGTCCAAGGCAGAACCAGTCCCAATTAAATCAACCCGGCCAGGGCTTTGTCCAGCCAGGACTTCAACACCTCTAGGGATGGAGATTCCACCCCCTCCCTAGGGAACCCACCCCAGCGCTTCCCCACCCTCCTAGGGAAACAGTTTTTCCTAGACCTTCCCCCCTGCAACGTGAAACCATTGCTCCTCGGTCTGCCATCTGCCCCCACTGAGTCCGATCTCTCTGGGACCCCCCTTCAGGAAGTTGCAGGCTGCTCTCAAATCCCCCCTCCCTCTTCTCTTCTGCAGACTAAACAAGCCCAAATCCCTCAGCTTCTCCTTGTGAGTCATGGGCTCCAGCCCCGGAACCGTTTTCATTGTCCTCCGCTGGGCTGTCTCCACTGCGCCCTCTCACCTGGCCCGGCCCGTCCCTCTGCCCCCTGCGGGTGAGGATCCTTCCCCTCCCACGCTAGGGATTAGCCAGCGGAGCCTCGGGGCCTGTGTCTGACTCTGCAGCACCCTGGCCCGCCGTGGGCTCCCTGCCTGGCTGCACGGCGATTAAGCCATGAGTCACCGTTTACTGCTGCAGTGAATAGGCCTGACGGTTCATAAGCCCCCTGGGCAGCCTAGCACCTCTGTGGCTGTTTGTTTTGTCCCCTCCTGCCGCTCTGCAAAGCCAAGAGCCCTGGGAGGGTGGAGCCAGCACACAGGGGGACCTCCCTGCAGGAGGGAAGGGTTGTCTAATGGTTAGAGCAGGGTTATCTAGCGGGCGCCAGGACTCCTGGGTTCAGTCCGTGGTATTGGGGTGGGGCTGTAGTGTCTGGTTGGTTAGAGCAGGGTGGCGCCTGTGAGGCAGGACGCCTGGGTTCTGTTGCTGCTCCCTGAATGGTGGTGTGGTCTAGTGGTTAGGGTGGCTGAGTGCCAGGACTCCAGCGTTCCGTCCGTGGCTCTGGAAGGATAGTGGTGCCTCATGGTTAAAGCGGGGGGGCTCCTGGGTTCTATTCCAGGCTGTGGATGAGGAGGGGGGTGAGTAGGGGAACTGGCTGGCTGGCTGGACTCCTGGGTTCTCTTCCTGACTCAGGGCTGAGATGACAAGGAAAGTCCTGCCTTGGCCGGAGGTCAGTTTGGGCTGAGCCCTGGCTGGAAAGGCCCGTGTGAATGAGGGACCCGGCTGTGAGCCTCACAGAGGAAGATGCTCAGGTCTGGCAGCCTTGCGCTTTGGCATGAACCACATCAGCCAGGGAGTGAAAGCGCCGCGGGTGAAACCCTGCCCCTGCAGAAATCCAGGGGAGCGTCACCATTGATGAAATCGGGGCCAGGATCCCAGCGTGGAACCTCTTTGGGGAGCACCAGCACCATGCAGGCGATTCTCAGCGGCAGCAGGATCTGAGCTCGCAGCAGCTTTTTCTTCCCCGCTCCCTCCCTCGCTTGGCCATGGCGGGGAGACTTAATCCACCATCCAGCAGAATATTCCTTCCCTCTGAAAGTTACGGCTCATCCCTCGGCAGCTTAAATTGAGCTTGTCAGTAACACCAGGAGTGCCAGCTCCCGCGCCGCAGCCATTGTCAGATTGGATCCCGCTGCTGCGGGAGGCCTGTCCCCTTTCAGCAAGTCAGCCCGGGCTGCGTTATCAGCCAGGGTATTCTTGCATTGCAAATGGATGTGGCTATGTGCACAAGGCGGCTGAGGATTGTATTTGGGCTGCTGTCAGGGAGATGCTCAGAGAGAGCACCTGGGCTGCAGGGATCTGCAGGAGGAGACAAGCCCTAGGAAATGTACTTCTGCTATTGACACTGCAGCTCGCTGCCTTGCTTCTTTGCTTTCTTCTTTGGTGTGGCATTGCTTGCCGGCAAATCCCCAGGGACGCGGAGCGCTGGGATTTATTTGCTTTTGATTGTGCCACACTTCAGTGTTCTCTCGCCTTTCTTCCACCCGTGTGCGGAATAAATTTTGTCACGTGCACCGAGGAATGTGCGGATGTGCACCACCAGTGGGCGCTCTGCTAATCGGCTGGGCATGCAGCTTAAAGGGAACCATGCCATACTCCTGATGCCCTTAGCTGGTGACGTGCCAACTGGGGATCTGGGAATCATTTAGAGCATGGGTTCCCAAACTGGGGGGCGTCAAGAAATTCCAAGGGGGGCACGAGGCAACCCAGCCTCTCCCATCAGCCTGCCCCAGGTTGTGCTGCTATTTTTGTTTTTTGACCCCAATCAGTTCTTTTTTTGCTGCTATGGGGGAGGGGGGGCCATGAGTGTTTCTCAAAAATCAAAAAGGGGGCATGATGCCGAAAAGTTAGAGAATGGAAAGTTGGGGGTGGCGACTCCATTCTGGACGTCAGCGGAACCAGCTCCCAGCTCCTTGACCCTGGCGTAAAGTGGCTGGGTGCTCCGTGATGTGGGGCATTGATCGAGGGTCGGATTTTTCCAAAAATGCTCGGCACTCCCATGGCTGGATT